ATTATTTTATTTTAATTTTTATTTTTGAATTTCTATTTTCCTTCGCACTTATCGCCTTTTTCTTTTTTCTTTTTTCTTTTTTTTTTGCTCTTTCCCACTTCTTTTCCCCTCCCGACCCAAAATTCCTCGCCCCGTCACGTCCCAACCTTTTCCCCTCTTCGACCCCATCCGTCATCCGTTTATTCGCTGCCCATGGATGAGAGCTCCCTCTGATCCCATTCTCCCAGTTCAGCTCCATCCTCCCCGATCTTACAACACAAGGATCAATTGAAAAAAAGAGAGGAAAAAAAAAAGTTGGTCACCATCTCATCTCGTTTTCAAATTTCCTTTTCTTTTTCCATATTACTTGCCTGCCATACTTTTTTATTTTATTTTTTTTTTCTCTCTTCTCCCCCTTCCTACACTTGCTCTTCGCCTCTCTATCTATAGACTTGTGCGTGTCTCAAAGGCTCCGTTCCGGGTCGTGGTCCAGAATCAGTCAATCCATTCGGCGGCTGCAGAGAGACTTGGAAGGATTAGGTTTAGTTGGGTCCTGCGTTTGCTGTACGCCCCCAGCCTCCTCCACCTTTCGTGTATGATCTGCTGCTGCATTGCAATCATTCTTTTCTTTCCTCCACCGCCGCCTGAGACTGCCATGATCGTCCACGCCGGGAGTGTCTAGGAATTTTTGCCTTTTATTTTTTTTTTACGTATTTCTTGATCTGAATTTTGAATTTCTATTTTTTGATTTTCTCCCTGTCCACGGTACCAGTCTCCCTTGTCCGCCTCGTTAGTGCAGCATCCCTTTCATTTGACACCTTTTATACATCCTCCCGACGTTCCACTTGGGATTTTCTCTTGCTACGATCACCGTCTCTTCTTCATTTTTATATTCTTGTTCGACACGACTGTTGTGATGACTTGAATGCCCTGCTTACTTTTGTTGTATTTTTTTTTATCTAGACTGTGCCCTTGTTCACCTTGAAGCAGCACGTTATCTTCGACGACCTGCTACGACCTGTTACGAATCGCTACGAGCTTGTTCCCTCTGTTCGTTGCAACAAGAATAAGAAAAGCGAGTACTTTGCCTACTTGTGCGTGTTTTGTTCATCGATAGTACGAAACTACGTCAAAGTCATCAGAGAAGAATTCGACGTTTGATGCTGGACTGTCACGTCGCCCTTCCCCGCGCTCTTCTTACGACTTGATACGAGACCCATGATTTCGTGCTTCTGATTTGGTTGAGCGATTTCTGTTGTCCAGCCGCAAGCGCGTTATTTTGCCTGGCTTTCATCGTTTTGCGTCTGATCACTCCAATCTTCGTACATAATTGGATGTAGATTTCTGTCCGTTTACGCTGCATAGCGATTTTCTCGGCCCAGTTACGCCAGCGATCTTGAAGCGTTTTACGGTTACGATTTCCAACGAGCTTACCACGATTGCACTTTGCATTTCCCGCATTTGTTGAAGCTATTCATTATTCCCTGACGACATATCTGCATTCGCTCTAAATTCGGTGCTACCATCGATATTGGTTTCCTTTGTACTTGACGAATTAACTAGTGGCATCACTTGTATGTCGACGACTCGCACTTCCGTGATCTGACCGGAACCACGACGACAAAGAAAAAGGTAAAAAAAAAAGAAGAAAACTATCAGTGGCACGTTGGACGCATAGATTCCAACGGCCAAAAATTTCGAATCACTTCGTTTATTAGAACCGTTACCCCGACAAACCGAAAAGCTGGAGCTGCCGTCGATTTCCCAGGTCCACACCAGAGGTCCTGTTGATATTCCTTGGTATAATCACCACGCTGCCGAGAGACCATTATTGTCTGGTGACAAACTCCCGGCTCTCAGTTTACCGACGGCCTCGCAGCCGCCAATCTCGGGCCAGTCCTACCGGACCAGCTACGAAGAGGCCTCGGCATCCCATAACGCGAGTGCCCGGACAAGTCTATCGGGAACCGCACCTGTCATCAACGAGGCTAGGAGCCCCCCGCAGTCTGCGGACTTAGCGGCTGGTGGTCAGGGCCGGCTCTCCCTGGACTCTTCCGCTCCACAGGAGTATTCCATCCCACAAAACACCGTGGGTGATAGCTACTATCCCAACCCGACTGCAATTGGCAGCATGAACCATACACAACCATACATGGATGTTCACTCATCGCATCTCTCATCGGCACAGCCCTATGCTTCGCAGGCAGCGACTGCTGGTGGAATCGCCCATTACCCCCAATATCATCAGCAACCGCCTGTATTGCAGCCGGCGTCGACTAACTATGGCCCTGCCAGTTCATATTCTCAATATGGTTATCCTGGCGGTGTCACTTCATCCCAACCTGGCCCCCAGCCCCCGACAACATCAGTGAGCAGCCAGGTCCCAGCTCAGCTGTTACCATTGCCAGGTAGGCCCCTGACAAGATATTCCTGTTACAGTAAAGTACTAATGCCTTCTCATTAGTTACCAGCCACACAGTTGCACCGCCGGGCTACGGAAACAATACCGGAACGCCTATGCAAGGCTACGTGTACGATGCTACAGGTCAAATAGCTCCGCCCGGTGCCAAACCACGGGTCACAGCCACCTTGTGGGAGGACGAGGGCAGTCTTTGCTACCAGGTTGAAGCTAGAGGCGTTTGTGTTGCCCGCCGAGAAGGTGAGTATTCCAATCGATGCCTTCGTATTCCCAAACATCATATGCTGACAGTGTGTAGACAATCATATGATAAACGGGACCAAATTGCTCAACGTGGCTGGGATGACTAGAGGTCGCCGCGACGGGATACTGAAGAGCGAGAAGATACGCCATGTAGTCAAGATTGGCCCAATGCACCTGAAGGGAGTTTGGTATGATTGTCACTCAGCATCATTTTTCGTTATATCAGTCTAACTAGCGTTTCAGGATCCCATTTGAGCGTGCCTTGGAGTTTGCCAACAAAGAGAAGATCACAGACCTTTTATACCCCTTGTTTGTGCACAATATTGGAGGTCTTCTGTACCACCCCACTAACCAAACCCGGACAAACATGGTTGTGCAAGAGTCACAGCAACGGCGGTTAGAAGGTCCTCAAGCCACGCGGGCTTCGCAGGGCCCACAACCCCCTGCCTTGCATCATCATCACTCGCTACAAACACCGGTTCCATCACATATGTCTCAGCCTCACGCAATGACATCCCAGTCTGCTGCCAGGCCTGGTCTTGATCGCGCCCACACGTTCCCGACCCCGCCTGCTAGTGCATCCAGTCTCATGGGTATCACTAACCAGGGGAGCTCTTATGAATGGGGGAACCAAGGAATGAACTCTGGTGTCCCAAACACACAACCTCTATCGATCGACACGACATTGAGTAATGCACGGTCGATGCCTACAACTCCAGCCACGACTCCCCCAGGCAGTAATATGCAAGGGATGCAACAATATCAGAGTCAGTCCGGATACGATAGCTCGAAATCGTACTACTCAGCCGCTCCTCCATCCCACCCCCAATATGCGCCCCAGCAATCCTTGGCCCAACCCATGGCTCCTTACGGCCAGGCTATACCCGCCAACACGTATATTAAGAACGACATGGCGCCTCCAACGGGAAGGGCTTCAGGAGGACCGCCGGACGTAGAGCAGGCTGACGTGAAGCCTGACCGCTACTCCCAGGCTAATGGGCATGTTGGCAGCGGAGCCGGTGAGCCTGTCACCGAGCATGAGCCCGAGTACGTGCAGCATGATAGTGCAGGCTATAACACCAACCGCGGATCTTACACATACACTACCAACCCTTCTGTTGGAAGTTTGGCAGGTGATCATTCTCAACTCGCGTCTGATATGTCTGGCTCCCCTTCACAACAGAACGGGTCCGGACGCATGACCCCCCGTACAAGCGGAGCGCCTCCCCAATGGGCCTCGGGATACAGTACGCCTCCCCGAACAGCTGCCGTTAGCAGTCTCTACAGCAGTGTCAGCGAAACTCGCGGTGCATCGGCGAATGGAACGACTGATAATTATTCCGTGGCGTCCAACCCAGCACCCGGGTACTCCACGGGGATGAACGGACCCCTGGGGTCAGGAAAGCGCTTGCGGGAGGATGACGATGTGGACCAAATAGTTCGGCCAGACAGTCGGGGCGCAGAATATGAGAGTAAGCGCCGAAAGACTTTGACTGAAGCGACGGTTGGTGGTCCTGTTGGAGGAGTACCACTTGGATTACAGCCGATGAAGGCCGGTGGAGTTATGTCTCGCCGTCGATAGGGTCTTCAAGTGGTATCTCCCACGATTCCACGGGCTTCAGAGGACCAAATTAAAGGGGGAAAAAAGGTAACAAAAACACAGAAAGACGATGATACTCCTTTCTGACCGTGAAGGGTCACCTCTGAATCCCTTGTGTTGTTCAAATGCATTACAGGGTCTTTATTTTCCTTTTATCTTGAATAGACTACACATTCGTACGACTCGGCACTTTCATACGGGATGGTTGGTTTCTCTCGGCAGTTTGTTACAACACATCTGCATTCAGGGAACATGCTACGTTATGTTGTCGAGCCGTTTCTTTTCAGCGTGTTTATGTTGGGTAATTGTTAGAGATGGGACATAACACTGTGAAAACGGTATGGATGTCTGGCTACGATCGTTATAATGTCTGAGTTTGTCCCCTTTCGGCCACAAAAGGGGCGTGCGTTTTGGGTTGTCGTTGCAGTGTTGGAATTTCGCCGGCCTGCTTTTCTCGCTTTCTCTATGGATGAGGGTTGGTTAGCGTTACGGTGCTTCTGGTCATCTTGTGCTATTTCGATTTTCCGACAGGCTATATTTAACGACCATGATGAGACGAATTTCCTTTCACGAGTTTTTATACTGTTGCGGCTCGTTCTCCATTCATGCATCAAGGGCCAGTAGGCCCTGGGTTTTGTTTGTGTTTTATGTATGGGTTTATTCGAAAAAAAAAAAATACTATCGGGTTTCAAGGGTTCACTTTTTCCAGTAAATGACTTCTGTCGCTGCGAGGGTGCCATGCACTGATACAACCATGGCTTGAAAACGCACTGTACATCTGCTCAATCCCCTATATTCACGTTGGTTTGATGCACCGCTTAGACTTGTTTCTCCCATAAACATATCGTGTATAGCGCAAAAGGTCGATGTGAAGCACTGGTTTAGCTGCCACCAAGCCCTCATTGTCAGCCAAGCTTCTCCCAAGAGCATAGTTGAAAGGTCGGCCATATAGGTCGGTAACCTTGCCGCCGGATTCCTCGAAAATGAGCATTCCCCCGGCATGGTCCCATGCAGGGAACCGGTGGTCCTTGTCCTTGGGAAGGCGAATCATCGCGTTGCATGCACCAATTGCTAAGGCCGCATACTTGACTTGCATAGAGTAAAGGTCTACCACCGGATTGGCAAATAGTATGTCCCTGATGAACTTGTGCTTCTCCTGATGGATAATACCACTGGTCGAGCTTTCAGTAAACGTGATTCTCTCCCCCATTCTTTGCCACGGGCTCAGGAAAATCCTCTGCAGAGGCCCCAAACTAGACAGGCTCATCCGTCTCTTGTACGCACCCTGACCCCTGACAGCGAATAGCATCATCCCATACCCATCTCTATCGACAACCTCCTCATGGACAGAAGTGCTCTTGAACGCCAGATTCGGACACCCGACCACACCGACCTTCTGCTCCCCATCCTCCACCAGCGCCACGGACACCGCATACTGCTGGCCTCGTATAAACGTCGCCGTCCCATCAACCGGGTCAAGAAACCAGGTCCGCCGACCCCCAGCTCCATCCACACCGCCCGCAGCATCGATTGCACTCAGCATCTCCCCTATAGATTGTGGCCCCGCGACCAAAGCCCGATCATCATTATCATCATTCTCAACCCACGTCATCGTAGACACAAGGTCCCACACCCGCCGCGCAAGCAGGGGATCACCACGAAGCACAGACGCAGACTCCTCGCCCACAAACACATCATCCGGGAAGTGATGACGGAGAACGCTGACGAGGATAACCTGGGCGGCGAAATCGGCGACGGTCACGGACGAACCGTCGGGTTTGCAGAGGGGGCCTGTGTCGAGGTCTCTTTGGACGATTTTGGTGAGGATGCTGGCGCGGTGGACGGCTAGGGATGCGATTCGGAGTTCTTTGTCGTAGTCTGGGGAGGGAGTTGCTGAGCCGGTCATTGTTGTTACTTCTTTCTCTTGCTTTTGGCTTTTCTCTTGGTTATTGTTGTTGATTGGTTTGGTGGCCATTGTTGGATGGTATTGATGGTGGGCTGTTGGGGGGTTTTTGCTCTTGGGTCACAGTTTGTGTAGCTTGCGGGGACAAAGAGGGCAGATTAGGATGTTGAAGACAGCGGCCCTTGAGCTCATGGTGGAAAAAGGGGTCTCGAGGGTGAATTTGGATGATCTCGAGTTGAGTGAATGGATTTCCTAAGTTGGAAACTGCGCGCGGCGTGTACAGATTTGGCTATGTTGAGTATGGGGGGGGTTGGGGTTTCAAATATTCTCTTATTTGTGATGTATCTTTGCATCTTAACTTAATGGAAACTGAAGATGATACTTGTTAATGTATTCTGATCTAATCGTTGCTAGTCTCTGGACTGGTCAGTGCGATACAATTAGACTATAGGAGTTCAATAGATGATTCTCACTGGAAATATATGCAAACAATTCTTGTATACTTTTGTCTATCCCTGAGCCATTGCCGTGTATGCGTCCAATTACTGAGTCTAATGCAATGCATGGTATGTTCATTATCTACAAAGAACAAAACATAGAACCCCTTGGTCCATCCCAACACATTTCTTTCATACCTTCATAGCGCCGACGCGCTTCATTTCCCCGCCTGCGAAAATATCTGCTGCCAGATATGGACCCACTGCTGCTGCTTGTAGGACAACTTTTTCTGTGGATCTCGGAATGTCCCAGATAAGATGTCGCGAATGCGAGCGCTAAGGATTTTCAACGCGAGCATGGACTTCCAGTCTCGAACCGCGAAGCGGATTCGATTGGCGTCAATTGAGACCACACCGGAATACATCTATGTTTTGGTCAGATGCCAAGTTTTCATGTTTACCCTTTCCAGAAGCTCAACTTACCTTGAATTCCGCCTCGCCGCACAACAGCGCTATGGCAAAGTCGTCCACGGCGTTCGTCTCGAAAGCGTTGTAATTCCGGTTTCGTCCCTGCATGATGTGATAGTACGACAGCCACTTCATGGATGCATCGGCTTGTTTGTTGACCGAGGTCGGGTGAAGGGTAACAGATTGGTTGTTGGCAACGTTCCGCCAGCCTTTGCCCTCGCGGGTCAGGAGCTTGGGGTAGAAGCTCCAAGCAATAACTGCATTGACAATAGCGTCGTTGCTGCTGTTGATATCGTACTCTTCAGGAATGGTAAAAAATTGACGCTGACGACCGCCGTATCGAGCTCTGCATGTATGTTAGCTCTGCGATCAAGAAATAAAGGTAGTGCAGGAAAGGCGTGATTGGCGCGATATGTGATGTACCTGTTCAGAGCCGTTTTCTGGCTTGGGTCCAAAGTCAAAAGTCCTGCGTCAGCGATAGACACAACAAGCTGCATCTTGATATCTTCAATGTTCAACAATGTCTGGGAGCTGAGGAAGTTTTTCCGACAAAAAGCATACTCGTTAGCGCCGGGGGTGTTTCTCGTGCGTTTCCAGGCGCAGTATGCATTGTACACAGTCAATAAATCAGAGTCGCCTGCGAAAATTCAGCATGTGGATATAGGACCGACTAAGATAGGTAATACCTTTCTTGAACGAAAGCCTTGCAAGATCCTTCTGTGTGTTGGATCCCATGGTATTAACAAAGGGTGATTTTGAAGAGAGAATGGCTGCGATACTAATCGAGGCATCTAGACACTTGAAGAAGGCACCGTGAATGATTAATTTTCCAAGAAAGACGTCCAACGGCAGCTTGGCAAGCTGCATTCCCAATGGAGTCAAGTTCTCTGAATTTGTCAAAGCTTTGACCTCCTTGAGAGAGTCTATAGCGCGGCGAATGTTCTTGGAAGAAGGTGCGTCCAGGGCTTCAAGAAGAGTGGATTCCACTTCGCCGAGCTTGCAGATCTTCACCCGTAGTACCAGATCTTGCAAAGAAAGACGAAGCATCTCTGGCGTTTGTTGTTCAGCGAGCTACACAATGTTAGAGAATTATCTTCTGCGTAACTCAGCATAGTCAGCATACCAGTTTTTCATGTCTGTGCTTCGTGAACATGTGAAAACAAATTCCATTCTGAACACGCCCAGCTCTTCCCCGTCTTTGTTTCGCATTAGCCCTCGAGATAAAGGCTTCAACTAATCTTGAGAGCTGGCGTTTCTCATCGAAGCTGTCACAATATCAGTCAGCAAGATACAGATAGGAGATCAAAGAAGACTTACCGCATAGTTTTCTCCTTACCCGTGTCAATGACGGCAGTGATATCCGGGATAGTGATACCTAGTCAAGTCAACAGCCTGTGGCAGACAACTACTTCTTCACAATAGCGGGAGACGTACCGGTCTCGGCGATATTGGTGGCAATTACGATCTTTCTAATGCCTTCTGGGGGAACAATGAATGCCTTCTCCTGGTCCTCACTGGAAATAGAAGAATGCAGCGCATGAACGATCCATCCCTGTTGGAAGATCGGTTCCGAGAGAATCTCATCATTCAGGCGGCGGATTTCCGCCATACCAGGCATAAAGACCAATATAGCTTTGCTGTAGTTTGCCATCTCCGGCGCTGTAGCAATCTTAATAAGTAATTTCTTTATAAGCTGATAATCAAGGCGGTATTCATCAAAGTTCAAAACAGTATCCCTGGTCTGTTTAGAATAACTTTCAAGCGATGCTAGTATGCCTCCCGTTGTATCACCTTCAGTGTTCTCTGGCGCCATCTCATCGGTATCTTCGTCGAGATTAGTATTCGAATCATTTTCTGATAGGCGGTAATTGGTCATCTCCACGGCATCCTCTAAGAACTTCATCTCCACAGGGAAAGTTCGTCCCGGGATATTAAGAACAGGCACGCCACCGAGGTAATTAGAGAACCTTTGAGCTTCAAGGGTAGCCGACATTAGAATCAATTTTAGGTCGGGACGCCTCTGCATTAGTCGACGAAGGACTATGAGAAGGAAGTCGCTGTCGATAGAACGTTCGTGAACCTCATCAAGAACGACATGCGTGATATCTTGGAAATCGTCTGGACGTTCGAGCATACGCACCACAACACCAGTTGTCCTAGTCCTAGTCAGTATAATCTCCAGCGATGAGTTGTAGATGGTGAACCTACGCAAATACTAGTCTTGTCGACTGGCTGACTTTGCTCTCTAATCTTACAGCAAACCCGATGAGCGAGCGGGCTGTCCCAACATCACTCTTGCTTTCCCCCAATTCTTCGCTAACTCTTCGCGCTAACGATATAGCAGAGATCCTCCGGGGCTCCGTCACATAGATCTTACAGGGACGGCCTTGTGTCATCTCATGTTCAAGGATAAATGAAGGTATCTGCGTGCTTTTTCCGCTACCGGTCTCACTACAAATGATGAGCGCACGGTGTGTATCAAGTGTTTTCAGTATATCGTTCTTGAAAGCCCAGATCGGAAGATTCATTCTTCCTTGCACCATATTGTTAAAAGAAGGAGTGGATGACTTCTCCATCCAAATCCTTTGCAATTGAGACTCGGGGCCTGAAGCTTCCCTTGCATTGGATGACCTGGCTGGAGACTCTGCCTTGCTAGAGGTCCCATTTCGTCTCCGGAAATTATCTGCTAGTACCACATCATCTTCAAAGTTACCCGGGTTCTCCTGTATTAGCTTCTTCAGATGTTTTATTGTCTTCTTATCAATTTCATCCTCTTGGAGCTTTTTTGCATTCGCGAACTCTGTCCAGAGCTCCCTCCACACTGCTGGAAGCCGCATATAAGCCTTGCCCTCCTTCGAGTTCTGTGTAAATAGGACAAAAAGGGCAAACGTCGAGACAAATGCCTCCGCTTGCTGTGCAGTTGGTGTGGCAATTGTGTCCATGGAGACAAAGGTGGCATAAGCGCTAGATTTGTGTGTGACTTTGTCCCATTCGAACAGAAATGGTACATCCTGTGCTTTGGACCACCTCACCTCTACCGCTTTTCTGTTCGAGTGCGATGCAGATGAGAAATCCTTGAAAATGATTGTGCAACTGGTATCCCTAAGATGTGCCGCTACTGTCAGCATAGCCTATTCTCATCCATGGAAGACCTTTGCATACCTTGCCTTGCATGTTTCTTCCAAAACTCGTCGAGGGCTAAGCCCAGTCCATTTCCCAAAGTCACGGATCGTGATAGCGGCTTTGTTCAACTCTTCAAGTATAACACCTGTCTCCAATGCTGGCTCCTCGGCTTGGAACATGTCTCCTAAGAGACCTGCGATCTCTTCGTCATCGACGTCGGGCTTGACTTCCGCTACCTTTTCCTTTGGTTGATCCTTGGTTCCGGGCTCGTCCAGAGAAGTTTGCTCGGTGGGCTGATTCTGCCTGAAGAAAGCCGCCTCCTTTCTTAGATCATCAAGCTTCTCTTTCCACCGGTACTCAGCTTCTGTGCGGTCGAAAAGGACATCGTTTTCAATGCCGGTAATCTTTCGGCGAATCTTCGCTACTCGGGGTTCGTTGCTATCAAGCCCAATATTTTCACGAGCAGGCTTTTTCCCTTTCTTAGGCTTATCAAATATTTCAGGCTGAAGATTATATAGCTGAGTCTGCAATTCCAAGTACTTTGGCAGCAAAGTGTCAGGATCCAGAGAACTATCAGAATCATAAGGGCTCGATATAGGAGGAAGAGGTTCCTTTGACGGTCTTTTGGCCTGTTTCACTTTGCTATCATTCTGGGTCAAGTTTAAAGTAGAAGATTGTGCTGGCTCACGATCTGATGCCGGTTAGCTCTCTTCAGTCACTGCGTAGATGCTAGTCATTATTTTAGGTTTACCGGTTATCCAGGAAAGATTCTTTTCATCTTTGCGCAGCTGAGCATTGGTTTGCGTGTAAGACGGTAGTTCCTTAGGGGTGCAGTGCATTGCCAGCCAGTCTAGAGCCTCGTCCAGATTACACACCATGTCCCTATTGGCAGTGGCAAAATTACCAGAAAAATAGTGTAAGAGATGTTTTAATGAATCCTCTACTTTCTTCTCGGGAAAGCCGAGCTTCAGAAGGGTCTCTCTTAGCGTCCACAATTTCATGTACAGGTCTTCTTCTGAGCCAGACTTTTTCACTGTATTCGAATCCCGCACCGAGGATGGGCTCAATTCATGTTCTTCTGTCTCGGCAACTTTAAGAATCGAGTCCAGCACTTCAGCAGGAAACCACTCTAAAAGACTTAACGAGAAGGCTTGCTGCCGGAGTACCCGTCGTTCTGTTTCCAATTTCGAAACTTGACGGACCGCATCGTTCTTGCATTTAGAGGCATATTTCTCAACCAGTATTTGCAGCTCCGCATCCTCAAGGTGTTTCTCAAGTTCCTCGGGTGAGTAATTCTGTAAGGATGGAACGTTCTGTGTTTCCGGCGCAGGTCGGCTGCTTTCCGCTGGGGTTGGTCGTTCACTCTCTGAGACCGATTTGGATTCTGCTGTCGACGCCGGAGCTGTGGAGTTGTTAGTCGATTTAGGCTTGGAAGGCACCGAAACGGTTGCAAACCCTCGAGCTGGGTTTGCGGCGGGCTTCTTCTTTTTCTTATTGTTAGGCGCCATAGTTGCAGGGAGGGGAAATGGTCCTGGCCACTGTTGTGAGAGAAAGATGGGGGTTAATAGATGATCTCGAGTTTTTGTTAGAATAGGAGAAAGGTAGAGATCTCTAAAAGATATTAGTCTATTCAACGGGCGAGGGAATGTTAGTGGAATGCAACATTAAGAGAGTGTGGGAATTAAATGGTGGTCATCAACTGGAGCTTTGGACGATTTCCCCACAATAAAACCACGCCGAAAACTTTTATGACAACATCGGCGGCAGCGAAAGACAATTCAACTCAATTCCATTACCTCCCCGTGGATTCTAAACAACATTCCCCACCCCGACATGCCCCAGGGCTCCTAACATGGACGACTTTCCATGGGATCAGGTAAAATCTGGAGACCTGGAGAGCCTGTTGGTCGTTCTCTTTTCGAGTTCGACATCTCGCAGAATTCGTGCTCTCCAGGAACTCCGCGAGAGAATCGGTAAGTTGGCCCCAAGCAACCCCTCTCGTATGATCCCTCGCTAAGCCTTCACTCTGTAGGGTCAGATCTCCCACAACAAGCCCGTGAGCCTCTCCTTGGGCTTCTCTTCAAGACCTATCCTCGTTATGTCGACCGCCCCTCCCGTCAAGCCGTCCAGCAGTGTCTCCGCTCGCTTCTCAAGTCCCCGGTCCCGACCGACGACCTAAAATATCTCACACAGAAGCTGCAAGCTGAGGCGTCCAAACTTACATTGTCATCTGCCTCTGCGCTCGTGCTGCTGGAATGGTGCTCGGTTATCTTACAGGCTCTAAGCAATGATCCTGAAACACCGCTTTCGGCTATATTAGACATTATCGCGGCGGATGCGAAGGTACTTGAGACTTGTTTGGCCTCTAACCCCAAGCTTCCATTGAAGCAGTCGGCCCTTAGAGTCACGAGACGTGCGCTGCGAGCCGTTTTCTCGTCGGGAACCTGTGGCGAGGATGCCGTCCGTCAGTCTACTCGTCGATTGACAAGCGATTCTACTTCGGGACAGAGGAATGCCCCCTTCCTGGGAGTCATCTCCGGCGTGTGCGCCCGCCTTCCGGCCAAGAAACCTGTCTTAGAAGAAGAAAAGAAGTTGATTATCAATTTCTATGTCAAAGAATTAATCGGGTCGAAAACCGCACCACCAGCTCACATCGCAGATGCTCTGTCCGACTTCTTCGTCTCTTTCGTTTCCTACGAGGATGTGACATCCGAAATAATACCCCCTCTCGAAAAAGCCATTTTGCGTTCCCCGGAGGTGGTCCTCGGCGGACTGGTACCTTCATTATGCTCGTCGCTACCCGAACAGATGGACTTATCAGAGATTCTGCATTCAAAGCTGTTGAAGCACCTCCTTTCCAGTATGAAGTCAAACAATGCAGCCATAAGACAGGGTGCTGTTCAGTCGTTCGAGTCATTGCTCTCAAGATCGAAAACTGAGAGCGTGCTTCTTAAAGTCACAACTGAAGTTGTTGGTCCTTTGAAGACTCAGAAAATTACAAACCCCGAGCAGCGCGCCGTGTATGCTCAGGCACTCTCAGCTACTCTGCCTTCCGCTGATATTTCGAAGGAGGTGGTTCAGGGATTTGTTCCTGTGTTTACACGAGAATCTAACGAAGCTGCGCTGGAACAGATAATAAAAGCGTTCTGCAAACATCTAGCATATCTCGTCCAACACAAGATAAAGGTCAACGATGATGTTATAAACACCATCGTGAAGGGATCTGCAGAGAAAAGAATTCCATTCCGAAAGCTTTGGCAGCTCAATGTGGGAGAATTGCTCTGGAACACCGATTCGGCGACACTAGTTAGTCCTGAAGTTGAGCCGTTCGTGACCAAGTTCATGAGTAAAATGAAGGATCTGTTCAACGAAGTGGCTTCTAACCCCTTGCCGTCGGCCCAGAATGGCTCGTTATCGACGGCCTACATCTTCCTTGCACTTGCTGAGCGGTTATCTTCAGTACAGGGCTTCGATAAGGCCACGTGGGAAGAATTAGCGGTCCAGATGATGGCTCTTAGCCCTAAGCCATCTCTACTTCTCAACCCAAAAGCTTATTCAAAGTTGGCCACCCAAGGAGAGGTCGAATGGGTTACAAGGACGCTTGCAGCTGTTTCGTCCGGATCTAAGTTTGAGAGTGCAGAAGACGCAGCCAAGATTGCCTGGGGCCAGGCGTTTATCTATGCCATCACCATGCCTGGGCTTCATTCAAACTTCCGAGAGCGTTCCGCCAGCATCCTGTCAGAAGTTCATCTTAAACGAGTAGGATTTATCGGTCGCATCGTGGTAGATTCTTTGTGGGGCTGGATACTTTCTTTGAGGACTTCTGATAAAGAATCTGCGCCAGTCTCTGCAGGATCGGAAAGCCTGAAGTTCCTTCATTTGGTTACGAAAGCTATTTGTTCACCTGTATCAAGTCTTCCAGAACTAGAGAAAGCCTCTTCAGAAATGAAGAACCAGCTTATTGAGCTCCTCGTTATTGGCCGTCCTGAGATGATCCCGAATGCCTCATGGATTACGCTATGTCTGCGAACTGGCATCGATCCTGGCAACCTCGTCCGTGAATTCCCCGATGAGTCTATGAATCAATTGACACGGGTGCATGATGACCCAGTTCAATCCAGGGTTCCTCAAGTCGACGATGCTATCTGGAGCGCGGCCGGCGAGTTGGCTTTCGTAGCGCCTGATACTATGGTTTCCCGGCTTGTGGCTCAGATCAAGGACGATCTGGATGTTTCGCGTGTGTCCAAGTTCACTCCAACCGACGTTGCCATTGCTCGGACCCCCGAAGGAACCATGTTTGTTGATGTCCTCAGCACCAAGTCGAAGCCTGCTTTCGACAAGAACACTAAAGACTATGGCATTCTCAAGTGGGAAGAGGAGTTACGGGCACAACTGGCGGAGAAAAAGGGCCAGAAACAGAAGAAACTGACTGCGGATGAGCAATCTAAAGTCAAAGCCCAACTTGCGAAAGAGTCCAAGATTCGTGAAGAAGTTCTGCGGGCAGCTAAAACGATTGAAAGAGGCGCTGGGATTATGCAGGGTCTTGCAAGCGGTCCGGCAATTGAGGCGGATGGTTGGATCAATACCGCAGTGGGATCTTTGCTGTCCCTTGTGAAGGCTGGTGCAGGCTTACTTGCCGGTGATGTTGTGTCTAGGGCCTATATCAAGTGTGCGGAGAAGGTATCTTCACGTCTGGGCCCATTGCGATCTTCCGTGGGCATTGCGACTCTGCGGGCACTTGGCAGGAGCCAACTTTCCCCCGACATGGATGCAGAGCCCCTCGGTCAACTTGTGACAAGAATTCTTTATCGTCTGCGGTTTGCATCTGAACAACGTCCCTTTGACGTCACGTCTCTGGCATACATCCTTCCACTTGTTCTGCTTGTTCTGAGTGGAAACGGAATTGATGAGCAAAAGGGAGAGGAGGAAGGTGAACAAGTACTGCTTGCACTTGAGTTCCTGTCCTTCCATTCAGGGTCATTCACCGACGAACGTCTCCCTCGTGCTGAAGTTTTAGATCACTTGCTCACATCAATGCAAAAGTACACTCAGCATTACAAATTGGTTAAGGATACTCTGTTCGATTTCTGCAGGTGTATCTCACCTACCATCAACAATGCTGAACTGGACGTTCTTCTACAGGGTGCCATCGTCTCAGATGCATCTGTTCGCACGGCTGTACTGCAGGCTATCGATGCCGAGATTGACCTGACCGACCTAGACTTCTCTGAACACATTTGGCTAGAATATCATGACCACGTGGAAGAAAACGCCGAAATAGCCGAGACAATCTGGGACGATAATGCACTGGAAGTCGATGACTCTTCCTACGGTAAAATTATCCCTTATCTTGCCTCCAAGGACTCCCAGCTCCGCGGTGCCGCTGCTCGTGCGTTAGCACATGCCCTTGAGTCCAATCCAACCAAGTTTGATGAAATATTTTCGGAATTGCAATCGAAGTACGAAAGCGAGGCCAAGCCTAAGGAGCCAGAAAAGGATATATATGGGATGCCGAAGAAGATGGACATGGCCGATCACTGGGAATTCCGCAGCGGTATTGCCCTCGCTTTTACTGCCATGACGAACGGGTTTGAGGGCGAGCAGATAGTGTCTTTCCTTAGATTCTTGATCGAACGAGGGCCTCTGATTGACCGAAGCCCCGTGGTCAGAGCACAGATGGCTGAGAGCGGCAGATCTGTCATCGCCGAGCGTGGCCAGCACAAGGTTGAAGAGCTGATGAATATCTTAGAAACGACTCTGGAAACATCAGATAAGGGAAGTGAGACCTCTGACCTTCTCAACGAGGCGGTGGTTGTTCTTTATGGCTCTCTGGCCCGGCATCTTAAAGCAGACGATCCGCGTTTGCAAACTGTTATCAAGAGGCTGCTTGCTACCCTCCCAACTCCTTCTGAATCTGTTCAATCCGCTGTTTCTGGATGTCTACCGCCTCTGATTAGACTGTCGGGCTCTCAAAGTGCTGGCTACGTGCAAGAGATGCTGGACCAGCTTTTGCAGTCTAAGAAGTATGCCACTCAACGTGGAGCAGCTTACGGGCTTGCTGGTATTGTCAGTGGAAGGGGTGTCTTATCTTTGCGAGAATTCCAGATCATGGCCCATCTTCGCGCGGCCACTGAAAACAAGAAGGAACCACATCAGAGACAAGGTGCTTTATTGGCTTACGAACTGTTTGCGACAATCCTGGGCCGCACTTTTGAACCATATGTTATTCAGATTGTTCCGCAGCTTCTGGCTAGCTTTGGTGATCCCAATGCTGACGTTCGTGACGCTTGTCTTGATGCAGCAAAGGCTTGCTTTTCCAACCTCAGTTCTTATGGCGTCAAGAAAATCCTTCCTACCCTTCTTGACGGTCTTGATGATACCCAATGGCGTAGTCAAAAGGGTGCTTGTGACCTGCTGGGTGCGATGGCCTACCTTGATCCACAGCAACTAGCAGCAAGCCTGCCTGATATTATTCCTCCCCTCACGGTTGTCCTGAATGATACCCACAAGGAAGTGCGTAATGCTGCAAACCGGAGTCTCCAACGTTTCGGTGAGGTCATCAGTAACCCAGAGATCAAGAGCTTGGTTAGCGTGCTTCTGAAGGCTCTGAGCGATCCAACGAAGTATACGGACGAGGCTTTGGACTCTCTCATCAAGGTTTCTTTCGTCCATTACCTGGATGCTCCTTCCCTGGCGCTTGTTGTTCGTATTTTGGAGCGTGGTCTTGGCGACAGATCGAATACAAAGCGGAAGTCTGCGCAAATTATTGGCAGTTTGGCCCACCTTACCGAGCGCAAAGATCTCACCTCGCACTTGCCAATCATTGTCTCTGGACTGCAACTGGCTATCATCGATCCTGTACCCACCACTCGTGCTACTGCGTCTAAGGCACTTGGATCACTTATTGAGAAACTTGGAGAAGATGCCCTTCCCGACCTCATTCCTAACCTCATGGCTACTCTCAAATCCGACACCGGCGCCGGTGATAGACTGGGATCTGCCCAAGCCCTTTCCGAGGTCCTGGCAGGATTAGGTACTACGAGACTCGAGGAGACGCTGCCTACTATACTACAGAACGTCTCCAGCTCCAAACCAGCTGTTCGTGAAGGTTTCATGACTCTCTTTATCTTCCTTCCAGCTTGTTTCGGTAACAGCTTTGCGACATACCTGGGCAAGATTATTCCGCCTATCCTCTCTGGTCTGGCAGATGATGTTGAGTCAATCCGCGAGACCTCTCTTAAAGCGGGTCGTTTGCTAGTTAAGAATTTCTCTTCCAAGGCTATTGATCTCCTTCTTCCAGAGCTCGAGCGCGGCCTTGCAGACGACAGTTACCGTATCCGGTTGAGCTCAGTTGAGCTGGTCGGTGATCTTCTCTTCAGCATTACTGGTATTACGGCCAAGGCTGATGGCGAAGAAGAGGAGGAAGAAGCTCACCAGGCTGGACAGTCCTTACTGGAGGTTCTTGGAGAAGAAAGGAGGAATAGGGTTCTATCTGCCTTGTTCATCTGTCGCTGCGATACCTCGGGTCTTGTTAAGAGCGCAGCAATGGGTGTCTGGAAGGCGCTTGTTGCGTCTCCGAAAACACTTAAGGATATGGTACCTACTCTATCCCAACTTATTATTCGTCGTCTTGGATCCTCGAACATGGAGCAGAAGGTCATTGCCAGTAATGCACTTGGAGATCTTATTAAGAAGGCCGGAGAAACTGTTCTCTCGAGTTTGCTTCCTTCCCTTGAGGAAGGGCTTCAGACATCGCCAGATGTGGACGTTAAGCAAGGCATTTGCATTGCCTTGCGGGAACTCATTACTTCCGCAACTCCTGAAGCCCTCGAGGATCACGAGAAGGTCCTTATCTCTACCGTTCGGGTGGCTCTTGTTGACAACGATGAGGATGTGCGTGAAGCTGCTGCAGAAGCTTTCGACGCCTTGCAGCAAATCCTGGGCAAGAAGGCTGTGGACCAAGTTCTGCCCCATCTTCTGCTGCTGTTGAGGAATGATGAAGATGCTGAGCAAGCACTATCGGCCCTTTTGACTCTTCTTACTGAACAAACACGGGCCAACATTATCCTTCCCAACCTTATTCCGACATTGCTCACCTCTCCTATTTCTGCTTTCAACGCCAAGGCACTTGCTTCTCTTGCTGAGGTGGCAGGCTCTGCAATGACACGCAGACTCCCCACAATCCTGAACGCCCTGATGGACAACATCATATCATCTACAGACGATGCTCTCCGCGACGAGCTGTGCAACGCATTCGATACCGTCTTGGTATCCGTAGATGAATTCGATGGCTTAAACGCTGTTATCAATGTCATGCTGTCGCTGATGAAGCATGACGACCATTTACGCCGTGCTCAGGCGGCCATTCACCTGAACAAGTTCTTCTCGGATGCTACGATCGACTACTCTAGATATCACCAAGACTTGATTCGCGTCTTGCTGATTTCCTTCGATGACAATGATAAGGGTGTGGTCAAGGCTGCATGGACGGCGCTGAGTGGCCTAACATCCCACATGCGTAAAGAGGAAATGGAGGTGTTGGCCATCCCCACTCGCCAGGTGCTGCGGGGAGTGGGTGTGCCTGGAGCCAATCTTCCTGGTTTCAGCTTGCCAAAGGGCATCACCGCTATCCTGCCGATCTTCCTGCAGGCTCTTCTCAACGGCAGTGTTGAGCAGCGTACCCAGGCGGCTCTTGCCATTGGTGACATCATTGATCGTACTGCAGCAGATTCCTTGAAACTCTTCGTGACGCAGATCACCGGTCCTCTCATTCGAGTGGTATCTGAGCGATCAGTAGATATTAAGTGTAAGTCATTTGTGCTTCTCTGTGGAGTAAGTTATTGACAACAAACTAATCTCACCGACTAGGCGCTATCTTCTACACTCTCAACAAGCTTTTGGCGAAGATCCCGCTTGCTGTCAAGCCATTCCTGCCACAACTTCAACGGACGTTTGCTAGAGGTTTGGCAGACACAACCAGCGAAACTTTGCGTAACAGGGCTGCCAAGGGTCTTGGAATTCTGATCACGTTGACGCCAAGAGTTGATCCCCTTATTGCCGGTACGGTTTTATTCTTTTAACTGTGGATGCCGAGTTAGTGCTAACCTAGAGATCAGAGCTTATTACGGGAACTAAGACCGCCGATGTTGGCGTCAGAAATGCCATGATGAAGGCCCTCCAAGAGGTGGTTGGCAAGGCCGGTGCTAACATGAACGAGGCTTCCAAGAATTCTATTCTTGCGCTCATTGATGACGACGCTAGCGATCAAACGGGTAGGTTTTACGATAGCCTACAAAAAGTTCGTTGCATATCTAACTATCCGATAGATTCTGTGGCCATTACGAATGCCAAGTTGCTTGGTGCGCTGGTGAAGGTTCTCCCTCCAGCCACTGCCACCCCTCTTATCAAGTATGTTTGATCTTCCATACCTTTCTTGAAAGGCACCAGAACTAATGAAATTGCAAGGAACCGCGTGCTTACGACACACCCGACGCATGCATCAATCTTGGGGCTCAACGCCTTGCTTGTTGACTCTCCAGCATCCTTGACGGAGAACTTCGCTGCCGAAACGATCTCGGTTATCAGTCAGGGCGTGACAAATAAGGATGTGAGTTAATGTACGATTCCAGCGCACAAAACTAAGATTCTAACACCCGAAAGACCTTCATTGCCGACAACAGTGTTCTGGCGGCTGGAAAATACCTGTTGATCGACGACGAGCATCGCAATTTCGAGAATAACAAGGCTATCTTCGAAGCCTTGGCACCGTGCATTCAGCCAGGCGCACCCTCCGACACACGTCGTTTGGCGCTAGTTGTGATGCGGACGGTCAGCCGTCTTCATCCAGAATTGACCCGGCCCCATCTGGCTCTGCTTGCGCCACCAATCTTCGCCGGCGTTCGCGACATGGTTATTCCCGTGAAGCTGGCGGCCGAGGCTGCCTTCTTGGCGATCTTCTCAGTCGTGGAGTCAGAGAGTGCTGTGTTTGATAAGTATATGGCTGGGCCGGGAGCAGAGCTTGCTCCAGGACCAAAGCGGAGTATGTCGGACTACTTCAAACGAATTGCGCTACGTCTGGCTAGTCAATCTCGGGAACGCAAGGAAGCTGAGGGTGGACAAGGCGGCCTGGGTCTCTCCAACGACGAGGTGGAGGATGAGAAAGAGTTGTGGAGTGTCGGAAAGGTTGATTTGGAGGAAGGCCCCGTGGATGAATGATTGTTATAGTAGTTCTGTTCTGCAATGTTGCATGAACTAGATCTATACCCTATTTGTATGTGGTTGCTGTTGTTTTCTGTCAGGAGGATGACTGGTTGGTTATATTTGTCAATATGAGAAAGGGAAGCAAAAGCTAAAAAGAAGTGAAGCTAGATGAGTAGATATGATGATGACGACGACGACGATGTGACCAATGCATGATTTTCTTTTCTCCTCCTGAGGTGTGGATGTATAGTAGTAAAGTAGCTCGGTGCTCAGATAGATCGAGACTGATAGACGGACGGTCCTTATCGGGCGGTCAGCCTCCGCCGCACCTACATACGGTCACGTGGTCACCATGGGTGTATTCCCCACGAGCATCACAGGTCAGTCGCCCTTCCATTAGTTAAGATAAGGGCATGCTGTCGAAGAGTCGGGAGAACAATACTACGATAGGTTATTATTTCAGAAAGGACATACAGAGAGGTACATCCAACCAATGCACAGTACCATGACGGAAGGGAGGGGGGGGCTGCTTAGAAGATCTGGGGCACAAGCCCTAAGGTGGATCAGTCTCGCTTAGGAGCACAGTTGCTGAGCTAATCAGCCGGCGTATCTTCAAACTCCTCACTTCTGGATTCTCACCCGTCGACGAGTGCAACGAACATCATCCGCCAACGACCGTCGATACGCCGACATCAAGATGTGAGTTCATCTCCAAATCGTGATATCGTGACTTTGCTGGGGGATCACTGCTCTTCGGTGGCCTTACATGCCCTGATTACGCCCCCCGATACGGCCCCTCTGGGACTCTGGAAAAACAATTTGTTCGATCGATTTGGGCTTCATGCTGACCGACGGTTTTTCATCCACAGGGTCAACCTTCGCACCCAGAAGCGCCTCGCCGCCTCCGTGGTGGGCTGCGGCAAGCGCAAGATTTGGCTCGACCCCAATGAGATGAATGAGATCTCCAACGCCAACTCCCGCCAGACCATCCGTAAGCTCGTCAGCGATGGCCTCATCATCCGCAAGCCCGTCACCATGCACTCCCGCGTCCGTGCCCGTGAGCTCAACGCCGCCCGCAGAATCGGCAGAAACCGCGGTCTGGGTAAGCGTAAGGGTACCAAGGAGGCCCGTATGCCCAGGTATGCAGTTTATCCTACTTTCCCTTGGAGGACGCGACGAATGACGGTTGGCTGGTCTATGACCAATGGGATCAATGTCGTGATGGGATGTGCCGTGGTGGAACTCTTTGACTGATGGGATGTCGTACAATATAGCCAGATTCTCTGGATGCGCCGCATGCGTGTTCTCCGTCGCCTGCTCGTCCGCTACCGTGCTGCTGGCAAGATCGACAAGCACCTTTACCACGAGCTCTACCACCTGAGCAAGGGTAACACCTTCAAGCACAAGCGCGCTCTCGTTGAGCACGTAAGTTTCCGCCCAATCCGCCCTTCTCAATCACGGTTTATCGGTGGGCTCATGCGCGAGCCCTCGATGTCATCAAGACTCCCACATACTTCATACGGCGACCGGAACACTGACTTGTATTCTCCAACAGATCCAAAAGGCCAAGGCTGAGCGTCACCGTGAGCGTGTCCTCAAGGAGGAGATGGATGCCAAGCGTGCCAAGAACAAGGCTCTCCGTGAGAGGCGCCAGGAGCGTATCGAGGCCAAGCGCAACGCTCTGATCGGCGAGGCTCAGGAGTAAATTCCCTTCCGTTGACAACGTGTTTTGGCGGTGCGGAGGTTGAACTGGGAGGAGAAATCAAGAGACTGGGTCAGCCTACAGGAAAAGTCTAGGTCGACCATTTCTGTTTTCTCTCAATGGCTTTGATTCATCCGGGACGGTTTTTGGTACAAGGGTGATCCTGGAACGGGGGCTTGGGGAAACAGAAGGAAATGAATGCATCTCTTTTCTTCCATGGGCCGTCTGAAAAGAGAACCAGGGAAAAGAATGAAAAATACCATTTGATTAAAGCAAAAACAATGGCATGGCGCTTTGTGTGATACGAATACTCCGATTTTTTCATATGCATTCTACCTCAACTGCTCTTCAATCCTCCCAAAACGCCCGGATGCTCAAACTTCCTCAACCACCCTCTCTCTCGACCTCCCCGAACCAGGCTGTTTTCTACCGCATCTATCTTATCTCCTAATGTCGTAACGTTTTACTGAATCTCACTCGAGGGTTAGGTCATGTAAATGTGAATTGTGTTCAACATGAGGTCATAATCGCTATGTGATGTACCTGTAAGTTACACCGTCCGCGTGGGTACACGTCTACCCGTACGTACAACTCAACCATGAAATCTCCACCAGCACGCCAACCACCATGCGGCTGTAGGTCTAGACCCCTCCCAGGCAGGTGGGAGTACGATTATAGCCATCACGGTGGGTATATCACCGCGAATATTCCTGCCCCTCCTTTTTGTCCCCGTTCTATCTATAGCCGTCTGCCCCGACATCAATAGCAAACTATCAACCGCTGTACGTCGAAATTTATCGAAATAGGCTCTTTGTTTTGTTCAGTTGTTTCTGATAGTAGTGGATATTTGAGTTTCAACAAAGATATATTTTTGGAACCCGTCGCTACGGCCCTACAAACAAACAAAAGAATCGAACATTTATTAGGTCATATAAACCCACCTTCAATGGAATAATATGCTAAACACAGCACCCCTCTCCAAACCTAAGCAGACATGTCTCTTTGTAAAACTTGAAATGTGTCTCACTATTAGCGTGGACCTATGGTTTACCAGCCAGCACACCGATGAAGTCATAGTCAATCAATGGATATCAGAAACTGTAAGGCAATGAATGGTGAACAGTTTTGGTGTTACATCATGGAGTTATCGTACATAATTATCGCTTGCCCAGCTTAGGGCTGAGGTGAAAGAAAAGGTAAAGTACAGTATACTGCGAATGATATCAAAGAGAAATACAAATGCAGCCATCTCATGTATCCCTCAATGCCAACCTAAGAGAAGTTCATGGCTCGTGTCACATATCTCGTATACTGCCGCAGAGACACACCCCACTGCTTCACTGCTGATTCTTTCTTTAGGAAGACCTTGGCGACGACCACCTGAGTTATGACACCAAAGGTTACACCTATGGTCTTAGTTGCGTCGCTGAACCAATTGGGTGGACCGCCCTCGCTGGAACTTCCAGATCAAACGGGTCACTCCGTGTACTGCGGGGGCTAATTTTAGTCACCGGTTCGTTTGCACCGCATGGTTCAAGTTCTGCCGCCGACACCCGGTAGCTGAATCTCTGCAAACTGCTGCCTAGACTGCTTCGCCCAGGAAGAATGAGGGTGCTGCCCAAGCTACGATCACTGCTATAAATAGATTCATGCTCCGAGCTCGAGGGTAATTCGGACCGTCTTCGCCCCGCATGGACAGTCGGTAAAAGGCTATCGGAAACCGATCGAAGCGGTAGACTTGCCCCTGGAATAACCGGCTTTTGATCATATTTTTGGTCCATGAATAGAGGCTGAGTTGTATCCTCTATTCCAAGTATGTCGTTTCGCAATCCTCTGTGTAACTCTGCGGAGTCTGAAAAAGGATCCGAATGGCACGCTGATGCTCGATCACTATCATCCTGGTAATAGGCGCCCATCCGAGGTTCTGGTGCGCAGTTGTATTGCGAGCGCATAGACCCTCCAGAAACATATCCGCACTGTAAGCCAGTCGAAGAATCCGCGGATTGCCGGCCGGCCCTTAGAAGCTTTTCGTTTCCTCCAAAGCATTGACCCTCGCCTGATTTCCTCCGCCTGTGTCTGAATAACAGTAAGCAGATCAGGAACACAGCTGCAATGAAGCCCATCGCACCGAGTACGCTGCCAAGTAGAGTGCGGAGCGAGGCACGTGAGCCATTGTCTGGAGAGGAAAGTGAACTTCTATGATCCGAGTTGTTTTTGGGAAAGACATATCCCGTTGCCGTCGAGGTTGCCGCCGTTGAAGGCCCGCTTGTACGGGAGACATGCGTTAGGATAGCCTCTGTGGAGCTCGATCTCGAGAAGTTGCTAGGCAAGCTTGACGCAATTGGCTCTAGCGTTGAATAACTGGCATCATAAGACGACACTAGACTGGATGTCCTCGAAGAACTCTCGGTAATCGAAGGATATGAATCACTAACTGTAGTGGTGATGACGAAAGAGCTGACGGGTGGTAGATGCGTTGGCACCGTGTTAGGCGTTTCTATACTCGATTCCGACGCCGTTGCTTGCGATGTACTTAACGTAGTAGTAGGTTCATTGAATGGGGAGGTCTCCACGGTTGGTGATGGATCTGTAAATAAGACTGGTCCGTCGGTCGAAGTTGTAGTTATCAGGGAAGAAGTCGAGGTTGAGAGATTGCTAAAAGGCGATACAGCCGCTGCTGATCTTCGCGGGACTTTAGTGCATCGTAAGCCCTGATAAAAGATAATGGAAGGACTGGACATTGACATGTCGTCAAGCCCGCCGGCTAGAGGGACGTGACCACCGTTCTGCTAGAGCAGGAAAGGCACGGGGTAGTGCGTCAAATAATACAGGAGTGAAAGGAAAGGAACGAGTCCCGTCAGCAAGGACAGCGCGTATGACGGTGAGTAGCGATGTCAATCAGAAAATCGACCGAAAGGAACGTGTAACCGACGAGGACCCAGGACTATGAATAAGGAAAGACAGATGCAAGCATATTAGGCTCTTCTCAGTATGATATTCTCTCTACAGGTTGCAGAAAACAAGCCATGACAATAGGTGTCAGAGGCGTTCACTCGCGTGGAAGCCTCCCGTTTCAGGCGAGGATAGTGAAGCAGTCTCTAGTGAAGGTGGGATGTCAACCACACCAATATCGATCGAGGAATACGGAAGAAGATAGAACAAATATAACCAAGTCCAAGAGAAGAGAGTAAAAAAAAGGAACAACTTTGAATTGAAACTCGAGGTTAGCCGGGCGTTTGTAGCCAAACGTGGATCGACCATAACATAACATTCAATAAAAGAGAGACCTGGAAAACATTATTTCGGTGAAGCTTACGCAGGGGATGGATGGCTGTTGACTCGCATCGGAGGAAAGGCTGAAACACTTTCCATCCAGAACATCCAATCCCTTTCACAGAAGGGGTCTGTGACATTGGGACCTGGGCGCCGTTAGTCTCACTTGCGTTGGGGGTGGAGGGGAAGTTTAAGCCCCCAGCCCCCGATCTTGCTAACAAAACAGTGAAGGGGTACGAGTTAGTGAAGAAACATGGATCCTTCTGAGGTAAGAAAGCTGGATGGTCAGTGTCAGCGTCAACCGCATCCTCGGCGGAAGGTTAATTAATGCAGGTGTGACCCGAGATTGCGACCGGCAATTGAACTAGTAGAAAAGAAGCGAAGGGAGACGAGGAGAGGAGGAAGTTCATTTGAATTGCAGTGCCATTTGCTTTTGCATTTGCAAGTCGCAAATCGCAGCCAGTTTGGAGTGGGGTCACTGGACCACTAGGCTCCTTGAAGACTAGTCTCATCACGGCTTTCAGGTGATGTCATGTGCACCAAGCAATTCTGCTGACTCAGATTTTCTTTTTGTCTACTACTCCGTAACGAGTTAACTAACCGTAGTTCTTTCTCTCTCGGCCCGACTCTTGCCGACCGCTTGACCTTTGTGTGTGCCATAGTTAATCCACCGGTAAAATGAATGATTCTTTTGCCCTCCACCTCAAGGACGGTGGATTTCAACCATTGAGCGTTCAGATTTGATCGGAGACATGCAGAGCGCAGCATTACCTTCTCTGTACATAGCAGCATCGAGTCTCGACACATCTTCCATCGGCCTGTCGAAATTTTAGGACAGGGATCAACTCAAAACTCCCTAAAACTCCACCCGATTTGTCCGGTTATCAGCCACCATTGGCGGCCATATAACAGTCGCGGTGGAGAAGTTGTCCCCAAAGGTTACCCTGGATGGAAGGCTGCAGAACACTTACGTACTTGGCACAATACAATCCAAGCAATATAACAGGTCGTGGTCGCCATTTTTTGGTCTTTTCTCTAATATATGATCATTGTCCCGAGGGTTGTTCCATACTTTGTACTGGCGTGGCCAACGGATAGCGATAAAATCAGCCATGTCAGGGCTCATGCTATTAATTAATCACCAGTAGTGAACGACGAAGTATCGTGTAAACCCCAATGTTGTCTTATCCCACGAAAAAAACCGCCAGTACTAGAGACGAACTAATCCGCACTCCCGCATACTACTAGCAAACCGCCCAAGCCGAAGTAGGCCATAAGCATTAACGGCCCATTACTTCGGCCCCCTCCGTGCCTTCTGTTCCCTTTTTCTGTTAGATTATCTTTCTCCAACCACAAAACCTACCACAACAAGATTCTCATTGTTTGGTTGGATCTTACTCTATTCCACGGTTGGTTCTTCTATGTCACCTTGCCCCTGGCCCACACTTCCACTACCTTTTGGCCCCTATCCTTAACCAAACCTCCGCCGCACCTGACCCCCTCAAGCCCTCATACCGGTTGTGCATGCGATGTGATTATTCGGCCTCGTTCACCTCAAACCAACACTAAATCAAGTTTCTGTTGCTTACTTGATCTTGTTTCTCACCTGAAGTAGTGTTTTGTCACTAGTTAGAAGCTTCGTATCATGTTCGGATGGTGTAGTTCGCTGGGTAAGGCTTCCCCTCTTTCATTGTCACCTTGCTTCACCCCGCGCACTATGTTTCCCACCGTATATACCCTACATGATCCAATTGCGGACGCAGCAGCTGGGTGGGCTTATGGTATACGAATGTCCTCCCGCCTAATATTCTGAACTGGTGTGCCACGATCCGCTGGTCGCTCTATGTTAGAACAGCAAGTATCGGCTATCTGCCTCGTTCACAGCTCTTTTAAGCTATGGGGGAAGTCTATCCATCTAAATACTCGGGTTTGGCATCGAGACTAAATATCCGCATTGCGCTCCTTTTTAATAACCAAATACAACCAAAATCCTGACGTTTGTCAAGTCAAATTGCCGGGCTAACCATTGTGGTAGGCTTCCCGTCAGTGAACTCAGAGCCTGACAGGGAGCGACGAGCTCCATCGCGCCCAACACCTTTGGACTTCCCAGCATATAAGCTCCCTGATGCCACAGATAATGATCCGGAGGCGTCTTTGCGGCAGGTTCATGATATTCTAGCATCCATCAGGAAGCCACAAGATATCACACTTGACAATTTCAGAGCCCTCAATTTGAAGGTGGAAGCCGGTCTCTCTGCTTCATGTATTGTCCATAAGGATGGGCCTAATTTCTTTCCTCCACTGCCTTGGGAAGACACTTCACCCAATTCGTCCCCACTGACCGAAGATGGTTGCCCGATCTTGATGGAGAATGGGAATCCGTACCCACCAAAGGAGCGATTTGATGTGCTGAAGGATGAGCTACTTCTGGAAAACGACGATGCGTTTCGGGAGGTGGCACAGTTACCTCCACGCGAGGGACGTCAAAGAGTCCGAGTGACCCAGGCGCGAAAGTTCTGGACGGGGCTAGAGCGAATGGCGCAGTACTGGGACACGAGCTTGGATAACTATTTTGAACGTCCTGCGACGCCCAACCCGGCGGCTGAAGGCGAGTCCGGGGACAGGATGCAGACGGACAATGGCCCGTCCTGCAAGACCCAGCAAAATCTGGAGACACAGATGGACATTGACCACCCACCAAACGCAGCAGCTCCTGATAACAATGTCACTGGCGAGAGGGACGGTGAGCCTGAATTAGTAGCAATGTACACAGGCCGTCGTATTGGTGCTGGCCATGAAATGCCAGAGGATATCCGCGAAGAAACGATTAGGGCGTTTACCGAAATGGCGGCCTGGCCTTTTGGGTGCCAAGTTGCCCTTCCCATGATGCCTCCGAGACTATCTCTCCAAACATTGTTATTCCCTGTTCGCCAGACGTTTGCAGCTGCTCGATCACCTAAAGATCGACAGCTAGCACGAAACGGTGTCATGGAAGGACCCGTCTTTTCCGCCCAGTGCCGACCTGAAACGTGCTTCCGAGGGCCTGAGGATGTTCCTGGCACGGGATTTGGTGAGGTATGTGATTTGTTACGTGAGGTTGGCGGTATGCTTCTAGCCGCCCAAGAACGGGCACGACAAGGAATGACAGAAGTGAAACCTGGCGAGGGAAAATGGTGGACAACGACGCCGCGATGGGGTGGTGCACCCAATGATGCAGTGGGTGATAGTGGCAATTTTACTAATGGCGAGGAAAAGCCGGTGTCGGAAAATGGGAACTCTCGCAAGCGCTCCAAGTACGAGCATCCCTTCTTAGCATCCCGTCGACCTGGATCCTCGAGGAAGCTGAGTAACAGCGAAAAGTGGAAAATGGTTCAGCCAGGCCCTGGTCTTTGGGACAAGCGAATGAGGTATATACAGATCGGGAAGGGCCCAGACAGCCCATTTGATGATGTCAGTAATTCTAGCACAGCAGTTATAATATCATACTAACCAGCCGCCGCAGATCTATATGCTCTCCTCTGTCAACCACCATATCTCTATCCTTCATTTGCGTGTCCATCGCCGATACATCGACATCATAACCTCAGGGGAGAGCGATTTTCCTTCCGAGTCCGATGCTACAGGACAACCGTGGCATGTGCTACAGCTGCGGCGAACGAAATGGTACGATTTATTCAATGCTGAGGAACGACTTGAAGTGTTCAAGGGCATATGGACTATATTCCATCACCTTTTGCGGTCCAGCTGATGCAATAGCTCGACCTTTGGTCATCTTTGACTAAGTAAGCTACTCTAGACTGGATATATATCTCTCTAAACCACATTCGTCAGCATCCTACTCTCTGTGGCACGTTAGACCAGCGATATATTTGCTTCGATGGTCGTTTAGATATCTGCTGTGTGTACATCTAGAGCGGGTCATCATTCATACTATCTATCTACTGAGGCGCTGTCTTTTTCATTTGTGCTATTCAAAACACGGGAGTATATAGAAGAGGGGATACTTCAATGCACGTAAATATACAAGCATAAGGTCTACTTCAGCTCCACTGAATGCATAGAGCCCGCGTTCACTAGTTCTAATATATCAAAGTCATCCATAAACTTACTTATTTTTGTTTGAACCCAAAGCACGGCGATCTTCTTCAAAGTGCTAACCTGGTAGACCCAGGATACACATGCATTCTCACATGTACTGTAAATATGCGCTGTATATCATAAACAAGACACATGCATTGATGCTGCAAGTAATCTGTAGGGGCGTTGTAATTCCAAAAAATTGCGACATCAGTACTCAGTCATTGGTGCATCTATCTTTGATCGATTTGTTTCTGATCTTGTTTAGCTTTAGACACTCGGATTCGACGTGTACTTCACCCCGAATAGACGAGTCAACTCATCATACAGAAGACATGATGCGCAGTGGTACGGTATTTCCGTCGAGAAATAGAGCCATTCAATGTGACTATTCGAGTATTCCCCTTTTAAGTTAAAGGTTCATTAAGGTTTGTCCGTGTCTGCCTGCTGGAGAAGAAGGGTGAACTTGCTGCTATCCACCCGTTTCCTCGCGAGATTTGATAGCCTCGACCCCTGAAGTAGAGTGGGACACCTAACACTATTTTATGCATAAGAGTGATATGATGCCGCGTGACACTACTTTGATTTCCATTCTGCTACTGACAATGTGATTCATTCCATGCCATTGCATATGACCGTTGCTTCGTATATCCACTCTGATGATACATGACTCCGGCTTTCTGACACTTGTCACTTGAACGCCCAATAGAATCGAAGGATTCTGTTGCTCGTGCTCGTTAGCTCTCTGATTAGATTTCAATCTAACTACTTATGCAAAATGTGATAACCCTCCCTGGTATAGCGTCCATTGCTCGGGATGTTGAAGAGCTCAGTGAAGGATTCGGCCCGCATGCAAAGGAAGGTGGAACAACATCGAGCAGTCTCAGTGGCTTCCGGGTTATATTATACAGCAAGGAGCAGAGTGATTTAGACCAAACTTATGCAATGAAGACGTTCTCACTCTATGTCTGACAATAGCAACGAATATGTCGAATGATATTTACCTCTTGTACCAAGGTTCAACCTACGAAGGTTATGATATCCCAAGCTGATATCCCCCATGTTTCCTATGTTGACAACCTGACAGGCTCAGAGAGACTACACCAACACCCACTGTACTAGCCATATTGAAAGCGGCTCGCGTGCTTCGGTAAGTGATAGACTCTGTTTTCGATGGCTATCGATGAGGTATATGGTTCTGAAGCGCCTGAGAAAACATGGGAGCATGTCATACCTGGCTATGTCGTCTACGGTTTTTTCTGGTGCAGTGCATCTAAATCTGTCCCTTGTTTGATCTTGGTGATAAGAGGAGATCTGGTGTCGTCCATTGGCTTTCTGACCCCAGTGGCCTTCTTTTGGATAGCCAGAACCAGAGGGGCAAGTCAACCTTGCTTGGCCTTGACTTTCCGAGCCACTTGGGGAAGTAGAAATCCAATTACATTGCCAGCCCCACATGCTGATCGAGCAGATGTCAAGCTCGAGCAGAAGACTGATTTGTCAAATGGGGTCTCGGTTACTGATTCAGACAGTGCTGATGTGCGGTAGAGAGCCCTATCGATGAGACATCTGCTACCTGGCATGTGCTTCTATTTTCATAGTCGCATCCATTCCGACAGTGGGAAAACTGCCGATATCCAAGTAAGAGACGTAAAGGAGCAAAAGCCGCTGTAGACGCTCGACAGGAAGCATATGATCGTAAAGTGCTTATCCCACTAATAGAGGGGATTCCTCCACCCATAAGAGATCAGAGCTAATCAGAGACGCCTTTCAGGAGGCAGATGACAGGTTTTCAGCTAAGAAAAACCAAGCAACCCCACTCGAGTGCATCGGCCGAGCCGGAGAACACATTGGTTAGGTTCAGAAAGAGATGGAGAAGCCTGTGAGCGACGTCAGTGCTACCCCACCAATCCCCCACTGCGGATCATGAAATCTGATGTTGAAAAGACGTGACAATACTGGCATTTGACTATCGTGTCAGGTGGCAAAAGCTCTGATCAATTCCCTGCCTTAAACCGGTATACCATCGGCAGAACATCTTTGCCTCTCTCAGGTAGATTTGAAATTACGAGAGGTGTATCTGGAATTCAGCATGGCCAGTTAGTAACTAACCGAAACAGGCGTCAGCCAATCTCGTATTGCTATAGAGTGAGGCTCTGATCGTCCAACACCGGATTTCTAATGTCTGTGCGAGCCAGGCAATTGGTGCCCATGGGGTCAGTGGAGATCGGATAAGAACTCCGTTCCCCATAAGTCAATGAAATTTTACCCCGTGTACAGACAGTGTCAGTGATATCATATGCGAATAGTGAGACAAAGGAGCTATGGTGGAGGATTATCCCTGTGGCGCAGCTACATATAGGGCTATAGGAGCTGTCATGGCGAGTCATGGTGGTTATGGAGATAATTCAATCGCTGCCGTGGTGCTAGGAGGGGAACATTTTTCATTTCCCTCCTGAAATGATGACGATGCCGAAGGGGAGTAAATAGTAAATGTGATCGTATGCAGTACTACATGTATCATCATTGTTGAAATTCTCCATGAGAGTTGCTATTAATAAGTGAATGTACGATGCATGACCCCCTGAGCAGAGCTGTGTTGTTGCAGTGAAGTCGACCACATTCCAGACCAGTCCATTGGATCGGGAGTTTCTCGAAAAAGCCCTAAAACGGCATGGAGGTATGTAAATCATGATATTATGTCATAAGAAGTGCAATGTGGTTTCCAATCAGGAGACTCAGGAATTTAGTCCCTGCTCGCAACTTGCGACACGACAGCCAGTAGACGCTCAACACGGGAAAGCTTTGTCCATGTGCTGGTCTCTCCGCGTATGATTGTCTCTTACCATTGGGCGCCTTCTCAGTAAGGGTATGGAACTGCAAACTAAAGTGGAACGAAATGCACCGATTTGTCTAACTGTCAGCTTGGGCCGTTTCCATTGCTGGGGTCCTCCGTCCATTATAATCTCCCACGCGATTTCCATATTGGGCGATTTGCATGGCTGCTAAAATAAAGCCTGATTGATCACTGCGACAGCCCGCTCGAATCGCGTTAACCACCAAGCTTTCCACCGCATTTCAGCTTGACTTACAGGGTACCTGCACCCTCATTAAATGCGGAGTACCCTGTACATAACACGAGTGAGATACATACAGAAATGTATATGTCAACTTATATCTACAGAAGTGGGGGCCAACAACAATAGCAATACATGTGATATAAACAACCCAACGACTACTATCAATCAATTCTCAATAATAACAATAGCAGATATATATGCAAGTGTGGACACTCCATCCTTCTACATCATGTAGGTACTGTACATAGCTCTCTCCACCATGGCCCCCTGTTAGTTTCTTCGCGCCGTTCCGGATTTGTTCGGAGCCAGATCCACAACAAACTTCGACGAAAGGCTATTGAGGTTCCAGACCAGTGGGAATGTGATAGATCCACGGAGGTCATGGAGAACGCGCGCCGAGAGTCGCTTCTCACATTGGTGGAATCGCAACGAGATGGCATGTGCGGAATACATGGAGCGACATATTCCGTTATCCATGTAATCCAAGCGATCAAATGGATAAGTCCCAGTAACCTGCCAGTGACATGGGTCAATGCTCCGGAGTAAGTTGGGCGCAAAGGGTTGGTGTTAGTCGCACGGTTGGCCACCGCCGGGAGCTGTCATATTACTCAAACGTCCCAAAAGCCTCCCGAGCCCGTTAACCAGGTCCATGGGTCGACCTAGGGGCGCGTTAGATATTAAAGAGCGATTTAAGCATCAACTGAAGTAGGGAGGTTGAATAACACACAGACCCTGCTTCGTACTACAGTACCAGCAGAGTAGTACTGTTGTACCAAAGCCAGTTTTTCACCAACAAAGGGTGTGCGTAGAATTATTTTCTGGTATATACGAATAAAATCGCAGAACCAACCTTCGTTCATAATGGAAGAAGTATAAAGCACTCGTGGGCGGTGCCGATGTTACACATCTCATCCCTCAACAAACAATGGAGAGAAGACAGTCATACAGCATTTTCACTGCCACAGGAGTAACATGGTGTAAGTATAGGATTTTTCGGAGAACTCCAGTTCAAATCGATTTACTTTTCTTTTCCGGTTTAGGGTTCACATTGCCTTATTAGGTTCACAGGAGTCAATTCGCAGGCATTCCTGGGCTCTGCCTAATTGCTCATCTGAACCTGCGGAGACATTCTTGAGATTGCCTACGCAGCTAGCGAGTCATGTAGGATCAAGCACCGACGTCGAGCACTTTAGTTCAATGTCGATGTTGTATTACTATAAAGTATAGGCGTTGCGAAAGCGTGGTCGTCTTCCTAACTTCCATTGTTTCAGCTCCGTCACTATGGGCGTAGAATTAATAGCCCAAGGTAGTAAGTAATTATAAACGGGCGACTATAATTAGACAAAACGGTAGCTTTTCTTTATGTAGTTATTGCTCGTGTCCATCCTTGAGTTTTGAATATGTAGGACGAGAATGCAACAGCGGTTAATCATCGCAGCATTGGGTGCACTGCGCATGCAAGCGCGAGATCAGGAGATCTGTTCCTGGAAATGGGAAATGATGTCGGAGGTACAAAAGGTGGGTTGGAAATATGCGCATAGGTTGGTATGGAGCACCACACTACCCCTCACTTCGACCAGGAGGCCCAAGTCCTGATCCCTCCGATCGATGGGGTCTGATCATGGTTCGCGTAAGGAGGTGGCCAAAGAAATGGGTGATTGACTTGATACAAGCCAAATTATGTCCTAGGAGCTGTCCATTTTCAAAGTCGCCACCGTTGATAATTATACAGCCCTCCAGTAAAAATCCACGGTTGTACCTACAACAGTCAATGCATTACCAGTCAGTTTCTCGTCTAAACGTTTCTTCGGCCTATCTCCGGGTCACTTATTTTACAGATGCGTAGCCCACGTGGTTGTGGGTACATAATCTTGGTAAACATATCCACATAGGTAGGTCATCAAGGTCGATGATGCTATATCTCAAGCGTATCCGAAATACAACTGCGGTGGAGCGGCAACAGAAGAACTTTACATCGATCGGCTCCTGGAGAAAGTCGGTATAGCACCTAAAAAAGTTAATCAAGCGAGATCTGCAACTCTCTGCAGTTGAACCGATAACTGAATACCGAGGCTTTACTTTCATCTTGGCCGGTTGATCGTCACCTATTCATGCGCTTGATTTCACATAGCCGCCGGGGTGGGTGACTGGTATCGGAAGCTATTCCACATGAAGATCCGATCTCCGAAAGGCTTTCGCAAGCATTAACCATCATATTTTAAACATGTCTTTTATGGATCATCGGGCACTTACTTATAATGAGCTTGATTGTGATACGTTCGCTTTGGGTTGGTGGTGCGACAACGGGAGAACCATGGTACCTATACCGTTACAAAGGAAATGACGTGGGTGTCACATTAATACGATATTTTCTTTTGATATTCGCCAATATACTTCATACTCTGTGTTCTGTAGATAAGGTGTGGGTAGTCAACCTCAACTTTTTTCTGTCAACGCCAACTACCAATAATATTCCTGATCCTGTAACCTGGATGGAACCTTGAACCTCGCTGTGCTTACCCAAGTAAGCAGGCTTAAGATCTGCCCTGAACCAGACTCTCGGAGCTCGTCAGACGGGCGGTTCATCCCGCTGTCAATTAAGGAAGTACGGAGTTTATCACGGGGTTGGGGTTACATGAAAGGTTATGAGCAATAATTGTCTCTTGGGAATTGAGCTGACCGACAATAGAACACTATTTTCAGCTCATGTGGCAAATATATTCAGGTGATAAACTTTTTTTTTGTTCCTCCACAGTTAATCATTGATCCACAAACTGTTGACTGTTCGAGTGAACAAGCGCACTTCGAATATCCACCTAAATTTGCTCTGAGACATTAAATTGATCTACGGACTACACCGGTCTCTTGTACGTCAGAGATGACTTCAATTGGATGCTTGAAGCTCGTGATGGTGGTCAGCCGTACCAGTTGATCTAGGACCTCCTCTACTCCGTATCTTCAGTAGTTTTCCATGTCTTGGTCTTCTTGGTCTGTAAATAACTATGGCATATTAGGTAGAGTGCTCATGGTTTATGTGATTCGGAATTCGGCTAATAAATTACAAATCGGGTGTGAATTGTTGCAGTAACCAGTGTTTCGTAACAACATGACCCATGTACATACATATGGACCTAGTTTTTTTTATCGAATAATCTTCCATTACATGGCTGCTACTAGTTGCCACTGATGGGTCCTGTGATACATGTAGTATCTATGGGCGTTTCTACTTAGCGTATATGGGCTTTGCATTATTCCTAAGCTCTACCAAGTTTGAGTTGCGGTTCGGGATTCCCTAGAAAACACGAAGAAAGGGAGAAATCTCGCTGATTGCCGAGACATAACCCAAATAATATCGTGATATGCTATCGCCTTTGGCGCTTCCAGCCCCGGAGAAACTCTATTCCCTCCACTCCAAGTTTCCGTGTTAGACAGAAGCATAGCATTGCCGATGGCTTTTTGTCTATCAAGACCAACGACCGCGACATTGGTGTAACCATTCCTTGCAAATACCAGTGTTCGGTGATGGTGCACTGTCTTCCACTCTGTATAATCTTCAGACAGGCGATGATGTGCAGTACGGGGTCATCCCTTACGTCCGGCGCTCCATCATAGTACTACTGTTCTACGCGCCATACAGCATGCATGCACATCACCCGTAGGAAACTTCGGCAGTGGAGCACATCATCGCAAAACCTTGACTAAAGTCAGGGGGCTTTGGTTATCGAGGTTGAGCGAAACGTTGTGCAACTCTGTTCCGTCCCAAATCGACTGTATGAAACATACGTAAGCCAGTATGGGCTATGTCATAGGTAGAGCTGCGGAGGCTGATGGGGTTCCCAATTACCCAATGAGGCGGTCAATGGACTAAGTGAAGATCCAGAAATTTATGCGGCCAACCGACGGATGGTACCAGGGAGACGGGATTTAGGAAAAGTTAAAATTGCGGATCAACCGGACAGCGAGGGGTGAGAAAAGAGGAGGATTTTGCGGCCCTTGGGAATGGCGCCTGTAGAGAATTAATTGGTGGCGGTGGATAGCGAGCACATGGTTCAATCAGGTTGGGCGTTTGGCCACGCTTGCACGCTTGAATTGGGAGGGGGATTCCACGCAGGGTTTGTTTAGTCTCTTAAGTTGGAAGGCATAACACGGTCTGATATTGATATGCCCGGGCCGATGTAATCTCTTTTCCCTTGGAGAGTATTTCATCCATGGGTTAGATGTATTCGTCCACACAGAAAGAAACAGATGAGTCTAAAGTGGCAAAAAATGGGGAGCCGGAGCGCCGGATACTTGGATGATCCATTACGACATGCCGTCAACTCTGCCCCTCCTTTTTTCCGATGCCGAGAAAACCCAGCCAAAGTTTTGGATCCTTAACCTGACTGTTTACTCGTTCCGTCATGGATAAAGCGGTCTTCAGATGGGGCTGAGCCCCACTAACGGATGACGGTCGGGCTCTGGTACCTATTATTGACTAAGTAGTACAAGATTCGCGTTGAAAATACATCCATGTAAAATATGTTACATCAGCCAACCGAGTCTGGGGCTCTTGATAGGAGGAGCGGTGCTCTTTTCGGGGCAAATACGCGACAGGACGAAAGATGGGAGTTACCTATTGGGGACTTTCCAGTTCAGGTTCGATACTCTATAGTAGTGACATTATCATTACTTTCCAGAGAAGACCCATCCCTCGGCATGGAATATTCTGCAAGGGGAATTTCCCGGTATAAATCTCTGGATGGGGTAAGAGTATGCAAAAGATTCATGGCGAAACGGTGGATGAGGGATTGGCTATTATATACTTCACACCATACGTAGAAGACACAGTCCTTTTTTCGTAGTACATGGGTACGAGGCACTGGCAGTGATTATGAGACTATCTTCTCCGAGTGTAATCCGAGGAACTCATACATGATAGTTGACGAGGCATGAGCCTCTCCCAATTTAATATGAAGGAAAGCACCCGTGACTGTACCCGTGACCAAATATATGTTGGATGGTACGGGTACTGTATGTACCTGAGGTATGCGTACCAAAGGAACCATCCCGTAACTTACCAGTTCCCGACCGGGTAGCACCATGGATGGGGAACGGGTTGTTCCTGCTGATTGGAAGAGGTGCCATTCAAGTAATCTGTATATTTTGATTTCGACCGTGGAATTGTGCTATGTAAACAGTAGTAAGGTGAACTATTTATGTATGTACGTATAGTTACACCTGGAGTACTCTATGGGGTAGTATGTGCGTACATATGTAAGTCAATAGGACTTAATTGACAGGGACGCTCCTTGAATGGTGTATTATGGGCTTGCGCTTCAACTTTTGCAACATGTTTAATTTTTATACAACGAGGAAATGTCTTAGATAAACAAAAAATGATAACTTATGAAAGAGACGGTAAGGACAGAAAATAATGACAAGATATAGGAATGACTTTTTTTTGTTCTGGAGTTTCACAATAATGAAGGTAGCATGGTAGTTCTCCGCCTTTTTGATTCAGGCGGTCCTCCTGACTCCTCCTTAATCCATGCAGAAAGCTAGTTTACAGGGTACTACTACATATGCATGTGTGGTGTTGGAAGACTAAGGCGTGACCCTTGATTCCAACAACCAAGTGACAACCCCATATCATTGAGCGATTCTCACTGTCTTCTACTTTTGCGTGGGGCGGCAGTTGAGGGCACTTCCCTTGGGTCACATCATGCATACCTCGCACTGTCTCGTTCCCTCTATGCGAGACCTCAGCTTGGACTGCCTGTGCTGTCTTTTATTTTATTATTATTATTATTATTATTTTTTTTTTTTTTTTTTTTTTTTTTTTTTTTTTTTTTTTTTTTTTTTTTTTTTTTTTTTTTTTTTTTTTTACCCTCCCTCCCTTTCAATTTCGATATGAATGTATATATGTACTGTCCATACAACAAATTCATAATTCCCCTAGATTTAGACTTTGCGATCTCTGTGTTCTTCCTCGCCCAGATACTTTGGGATAATTGACTTTAGATCCAAGTCCACCAAACATCGAAGATAAAGATAGGGGGTACCTTGCCAATAATATGCTGGATTAAGCTTGGTCACGGCATTAGATGGGCACCAAGAGACTCAAGGAATGCGTCTGAGGGGCTGAGGTTGACAACAAGCATGTCTAGAGTATGTAAAGTTCCGTGCTACTGTCCAGTTAGGTTTTTCATATACCAGCCCTTGGGAGGGATAAACCATTCCAAGGCTCTTTCATCATTAATCAGGTGTTGTGGCCACTCCATCTGTTTGTTCCATTCTTGGTTTCACTTTCTTCTACCCAACGCAATGATCTGAGAATAGACATGCGAAGAGTTTGGGGAGGGAAAAAAAAGGGAAAGCCAAGAAAGAAAAAAAAAATATTTTATTTAATTCGCCCCCTTCTCTTGAACCCCTTCGCACAGTTCTTTGTCTTTTGGTAATTAAGACTTTTTACCCCAAGTATCGGTATTCCCTCTTTATCCGCCATATCTTTCGGTGACCAACACAGTCCACCGCTGAAATTACCCCTCCGGATTTTGGGCATCGACCACTCTCTGATCATCTCACGAGGCATCTGTTCCCAAGGAGAAGATTGCAGAAAGGAGGATCCGAGCTTTGTCTGGCATCAGTGGTAACAGTTATCATCATCCTACTTATATATTTCCTCATAGCTGCCTGGCTACGGTATGTAGATACCATTGGGCAGTCCAGTTCGGCTCCGGTGACACCGATTCCCCCAAGATATTTCCATGTGGCACTGCGAAAAATAAAAGAATGGAACCGATTGTCGGCCCTTTGACAAGATAGGAAATTGAAAGGTAGCTTAAACATTTCATGGATTCGCCGGTGTGTGTTTTTCTTCATTTGTGATTCTCCTTCCAACCCGTCCCGCGTTAGCAACCAGCTCCAGTTTGCGGCTCCACTCTTAAGTCAATTTTTTTTTCCTTCTACCCTTTTCCCGTTGTTGTTCCCCTTCCCACTTTTGGTTTCTTACGGCAGAGTCGAAACCGAAACCGAAGTATAGACCAGAAAAGAAAAAAGAAAATAAAAAAAAAGCGATCTGTCAATTCTCGGTGGCTTGTGGTAATTCTCTGCAAACCAGGATCCCGGTCCAGGTTACAAGACCCAGCCAAGCAGTCAATCAATCTGTCAGAAGGAGGCGCGCGTCAAAAAGCAACGAAGACGATAGAATACTGAAGGGGTAAAAAGAAAGAACGAAAGACTATTAAGAAAAAGCAACAACAGAGAGGAAAGGAGGTAGAGGAACGAGTGCCTTCTGTTATTGTTCTCGCTGCTACCACCACTGGTGTTGTTTCGATTGTTGTTCCTACTGTCGTTGGTATTATTTGGATTATTATTATTATTATCTGTAAAGGAAGGAGACGGAAGTTCTTCATCCATTCATACTACTGACCACTAGACACTTTCTCCCTACAGACAATCCCTCCACTTCCAGGGTTTTTCTTTTTTCTTTTTTTTTTTTTTTTTTT